GGCACTTAACTCCCGGACCTGATCGGTCGTCGTCCTACCACGATCATCCATACTTGCTATTCGTTGTATCGTGATGGGGAGAGCTCTGTCAGCCGGTCCACCATGAGTGAGATCATAGTAACCTCGTTGGTAGCCATATGGTGACCTCTGGCGTTGTTGTCGGCTCCATCTTTCAATCGTTGTTACCCAAGGGGGTTCAGGTCCGTTGTATCCAAAACGGTGCGCGGGTACCCTCGCGATGTAGGGAGGGTTGAATACTTATGGTGGTTCCTCTGCTTCGTTCCCAAACATGACTATCTCATCACCTTCCTCTTCTTCCTCTTCGTCTTCCTCTTCTTCTTGGTCGTCTTCCTCTTCTTCTTCTTGTTCGTCTTCCTCCTCGGGATCTTTCTTTGGGATCCTCCTCGGGATTCTCTTCGGGATCCTCCTCGGGATCCTCTTCGGGATCCTCCTCGGGCTCATCATCGATCCATCCCGCGTTTCCCTGATTGGGAAAATAGGGGTCCCCTGGTATGTGAAATCCTGCCATGTCGTCTGCACGAGAAATGGGGTTAAGAAGCACATATCGGAAAATAATAATCTGGCACTATAGAAACGTACAAATACTCCTATAGTATTTTTAAATGTTTATATTTGGTTCTTAGCGTGTTCTTTATGGAGTGTAATTAGGTTATCAGATTTATCGCTCATTACGACTATTCCTTAGTGTGCGTAAGTTACTTCTTGGACGGATATAGTTGATCAGGCCATATCCCTCCCAGAACTGATTACACATGCTAAGGCGTACTAATAATGTTCGACTCCTCCTCTTTCAATTTATGTTCTCCTAAGATATGACACCATGCTAGTATAGAATGCATGTAAGTATACTTTAAAACAAGAAATTATTTGTTTTCTAAAAGTACAACTCGTTAAAGAATTTTAAGAATCAGAGACCTTTAGTCCCAAATGTGTTTATAGTTTGTATATCTTATGTGGTTTGACATACTTAATTCACTATAAACCGTGCTCTGATACCAATCTGTCACACCCCCAAACCAAGGATGGCGGAAACGTCCGGGGGTGGAGGACTTCATGTATAGTATCATAACCACAATTTCAATAGTAATTTAAGCAAACACAACCAACATATATATAATTGAAAAAGTTACATCACTTGTATGAATTCATGTTTCAAAATCAATTACAATATGTTGACAAAATATGAAAAGTTTGACGCCTTAACGTCCCATCCTCAAAAGCACTTGTTTACCTGTTTAGTGTTTCCTGAGAATACAAGTTGTTTGAAAGTGTCAACACAAAGGTTGGTGAGTTCATAAGCTTTTATTAATAAACTTAGTAGAAGTCTTTCACATGTAAATGTCGCGTTTGTTCAAAAAATCCGATATTTTCCTTGAAATCCGAAAAATGTAGCCTTATAACCAAAGACTAAAATGTATAAGAAATCATCATTTCTTAGTAGAAATGTCGTGAGTTTAAAATGATATGGAAAGTAAATTTCTTTATCAACCTAAAACCTACTTCGGTTTTATGAAACCCCGTAAACTTTATGAATTGTTATCTCCCTAGGTGAGTCGCTATAATCATACTGTGACTATGTGAACCTGCCACAACGTTTCTCAGGCGTCGCGAAAATGAAATGACATTTGTCACCCGTAGACCTGCAGGTCCCACTGTAGCTAGCAGCAAGGTGTGGGGTGTCAAACCCAATATAGATCTATATACAAGTATCACGTTCTCCCTCAAGGAGATTTGATTATAACTACCAGGAATTATATCCCGCACTCGGACGTACGGGAGAGAGAGAGTCTCACAACATAGGTTAACAAGTTTACGTGAAATGTGTGTGGATATAAATCTTTCTTGTATGAATGTACCCTTTTTGTACGAGTGTGTTGAGTGATGTATCATAAACTATACCTATTATAGTTTATCTAAAATGTATATAATATGTATGAATTCTTTTATGGAAATGTATTAGTGTTGTGAATTTATCCAACTATACTTTTTATAGTTACATAATACGTGTTCTAAATGAATGAATAATATTTAATATGAATGACTTAGTTTCAGTTCATAATGATAAACTAACAAGGAAACACATTCAAATATTAGAACTTATGATTATACACTTTGCTCAACATATTACAAAGTGTTATGATATTTACATGCTGTTGGCTAACTTTAGCAATTCTGCCCTGTTTTGGAAAAATCATAGAAAAATCATACGAAGTCGAAAACTAGATCCGTAAATTCTGAGAGTTCACAAAATGTGTCTAGTTTACTCATAATTTTTATCACGATTTTTAATGACCTCCAACTTGGGTGAAAATGTCCATAATCACAGACTGGTCCGGATTGTTGTTTGAAATGATAGGCAGTTTTGTAAAAATCACCATAAATTGTAGAAAAATCGTATGGAGATGTGCAAGTAGTCATTTTAAAGCTACAAACTTGAACTATTTGCACCTTGTACAGTTTTGAAAACAAAAATGTTTAAGATGCCCAAAACAGTCCGTGAATGGAGTTGAACTTTTCTGATGAAGGCTGTTAGAAAATTTTAATTATGTTCTTAGTGTTTTAACTTGTATTCCCCCCCTGAAAACTTGAGAAAACATGAAAATGTAGGGGTATGAACTCACCTTAAGTGATTTCAGTAGGTAAGTGTTGAGAAGAGAAGTGTTCAACCCAAGAACACTTGAAGAATCACTTGAAGATTCGAAGATCTAACACAATTATGAGAGAGTTTGTTAAGATATCCATGATTCGAGTGGAAATAATTGAGATAATCATAAAGAGAATGGATCATTCTTACCAAATGTGGAGGAAAATCCAAAGATCAGCCCTCAAATCTCGAGTTCTAGAGAGGGAAATTAGAGAGAAAAGAGTTTGCTCTTTTTGGTGAAAAGAGAGGAAATGAGAGAAATGAGGAGAGAGGGTGAATATTCAGCTCTCCAAAAACGTGGGGAGGAGTGATGATTGAGTGGAAAGGACATTGATGTGACCTAGGTAAGGTGGGGAGGTGTGGCTGGTCATAGAGTGGGTGTGGGAGTGGTTGCTTGTGTCATAAAGTAAAGCAAAGTCAACACTCCACCTCTTTGTACTTTACCCACTTGCTCTTATTATTTAAATAAGGATTTTTATGAAAATATGATTAAATTGAGAATATTTAGGGTTTATTATGTTAAAATATGATTTTGGGTGAAAATCCCGCGTTAAAATAATTAAAAACGGGCCTTAAATGCAAAACTATGCGAAAACCGGGAAGAAAATGAGTTCCCAGCGAGACCTCTCGGTCCTAGGCCGAGGCTCGGTCCATGCTGAGGTTGGAGTCGGAAGCGAAAGGCGCGAGTCAGACGCGAGAAGTGAAGGGCGAGGGTCCGGTCCGAAGGGTCAGTAGCGAGGGTGGGGTTCGGTTCGGGAATAAGAGGCGAGAATGTCAGAACCGAACGGACTGTAGTGAACAGTAGTGAACAGTACCTTCGGTTCGGTTAGTGAACAATACCTTCGGTTCGGTTCCTCTTGAGCAGGGTTCGGTTTCGGTTAGTGGTGAACAGTACCTTCGGGTTCGGTTCGGCTCAGGAGGGTTCGGTTCGGCTCAGGAGGGTTCGGTTCCTCCTTGCTCTCAGTCCCTAAGAGGACCTTCGGGTCCTAAGAAGCTTCTCTCTTCTCGAGAGGTTTCGGTTCCTAATGTCTATTTTTCTCGTTTTTATCCCGTTTTAAGCTGTTTTTGACACGGTTAAGCGTCGGAATGACCCGAATGATTCTAAAAAGTTACGGGAACTATTTGAGAGAGATTCGGGAGAGATTTCTCACACTTGGAGAGATTTGGGAGAGATTTGACATACAAAGAGATATTTGCGAGAGTTTTCACATACTTAGAGGGATTTGGGAGAGATTTGACATTCTTGGAGAGATTTCTAATACAGAGAGATATTTGAGAGAGATTTCGCATACTTGGAGAGATTTGGGAGAGATTTGACTTTCTTGGAGAGATTTCTCATACAAAGAGATATTTGCGAGAGTTTTCACATACTTGGAGGGATTTGGGAGAGATTTGACATTCTTGGAGAGATTTCTAATACAGAGAGATATTTGAGAGAGATTTCGCATACTTGGAGAGATTTGGGAGAGGGTTGACACAGAGAGAGATAGTGCGGAAACGATTGAGAGAGGTTCCATGTGGGATAGTTGTGAGTGTCCGTCATCGAAATGCATGGTTCGTGAACCCTGTTAAGCCTTGTTTAAGGATCTTACACACTCCCGATGAGTATGCATCATTGTTTTATCGGTCTAGTTCATTGATTAGAACTAGGGTTTAGGAAATTTTTAACACAAGACTTTTCTCAAGTGATGTTTCCCCATTAATATAGCAAGTTATACAGTATGAACATAACACAAACCCTAATACACAAGGTTTAATCGAGTTGACCAATCTTGACTTGATGACTTAACTTGACTCAAGATTGACGATTGTCACAGAAGTAAGACTGATGAAGTAGTAGGATTGGTGGAATCAATAAAGATGGGTGAGGATAGAGGGATGGAAATCCGAGGGGGAGAAATTCCCACTAAACTAGTTGGTGGTAGAGGGGGTGGATGATATCAGAATTGTGAATGTGATGGGTGAGAATGAAATTGGCATAGTTTGTTGAATAACAGGTGGTGATGACGGAGTAATAGAGAGGTTCAGAAATGGTTCTTGTAGAAAGTTGCTGAAAATATCAGAAGGTGGAACAGAGGAGGTCGGAGGAGACGATACCTTAGGAATGTTGTCAATAGGGGCAGGTTTCGAAGTTGTTGTTGTATCCTCTTCCTCATTTCAGAGAGTATCCTCTTCTTCAGTAACAGTTCTTTCTTCTGATTCTTCTTGAAATGCCAGAGATGGGGATTTTGTTTTCTTTATTTGTTTCTTTGTTTTCTTCGAAATTCTGAGACTTTTGGAAGTTCAACTTTTTCCTTCGTTTTACCACCACACTTTGGTTTGTTGACTTCCTCAATCAACTTCCTATGTTTAGCACACATTGGTTGAACACCAGAAGAGTTAGCTTCATATCCTCCTTCACAATGGAGTTATCAAGTTGAACCTTTTCCAACATTTCAATCGGAATTTGACCAAGAAAATCAAAGTTTCTAGGATCAGACATCAAAAATGTAAACATTTGGAGTGTCGGCATCTCTGCTGTAATGAACCAAAAATCAAGTCTAAAAATTACATTTTTAATACAGACAAACACATATATTTTTAAATCCAAACATTCCAAAAACATAATTAATTAAAAACATTCATCAGAGTATGTCCCAAAATCATATAGTGCAGAAAACACAAGTGTGTACACTGTGATCAAGATGCGCCCTTCCTTTCCCAAATGATGATATCTGAAACCATAAACAAAACTGTAAGCACGAAGCTTAGTGATTTCCCCACAGCAAACCCCATATACAATCCACATAAAGCATATCATATTAACTATAAAAGGTATCTCTACCACATAACACTCACCATATTAGTTATAAAAGATACCACTACCACATAACACATATCATATTAGCTATAAATGCTACCTCTACCACATACCACATATCATGTTAGCTATAAAAGCTATCTCTACCATTAGCCATAAAGACTACCTCTACCATTAGCCATACAGGCTATCTCTACCATTATCCATAAAGACTATCTCAACCATTAGCCATACATGCTATCTCTACCATTAGCCATAAAGGTTATCTCTACCATTAGCCATAAAGGCTCTCTTTACCATTAGCCATACAGGCTATCTCTACCACATATCACGACATAAATATACTACACACCTCTACCCAACAAGTATAACAATTATCATAAAATGGGCCAGCCTTGGTGCCTTAGACCTGTTGGTATGGTGAGAAGACTAACCTTGCATTGCTGAAGTCCCTAAGATAAAACTCTAGTTGTTGGTTGACATGTTCTCGAACTTTCGACATCAAAATGACACCCAATTAATAATTCGGTTCCAATACACAACCATAATCTACACTTGGGGTAAATGGACAATTTTACCCCTAACCTAGCTTGGTTCAAAACCAAGGCCCAAACTCACACCCTAAAGGCCCAAAAGCACAATAGTCAACCAAGGCCCAACATATGGTCCAATTTTCCATATTGGGCCTAGACCTCTACATGGACTTATTTTAAGGCCCAACCAGTTATTTTAGACCAAACAATTAACATTCTGATGGCCCAATGGCTAATAATCCTCAAGGTCCAATTCTGGCCCACTTATGGCCCAATTTTCCAAATTGGGCCCAACCCTCTCTAAAGGGTATTATCCTGAAGCCCAATAATTTCCCTCAGTCCAAAAATATGTTCCCAATTAGCCCAAAAAGGCCCAAAACAACTTAGTCCAATAAATGGACCAACAAACATCCAAACCCAATTAGGGGGTTTCACATAAAATGACGATTAGGGTTAAGTGTTCCTACTGTACCCATTAAGGACTTAATCCATAAAGTCCAATACCGCCTTAGCTTAATTTGCCAATGAATGATAATTAATATTTTAATTTTTTTAATTAATTCCAGTGCGGGTGACTATAAATCCAAACCAATGATTCCAACATTAGGGTTTTCAAACCAATCATAGCCCAATATGCCCAATAGCTAGGTCTTCTGATTAATTAGGGTTCATTAGGCCCATTAGGGTTTCATAGTGCTAGCATCGTCCACAACCACCTCGGGTAATGGTGGTTAACGGCGGCTCATGGCAGCAACCACCACCTCACGGTGGTGGTAACGAGTTTATTTTATTATGATTGCGGGAACCATTTACAATTTACAACTCAATAACATACACTAATACAAACACACGCACACACACAACCACCCACCTGGTGGCTCACAGCGGCACATCCTGTTGACAATGACAACCATCATGGTCAGCCGCCAAGGTGGTTCTCCTCCGTTGTCTGCCAAAAAAGACAAGTAATGCATGAGATCTGATAACAACCTACCGCATGGTGATGCACATCAATCTTCAGCAACAGCAACCATGGCTGACGGCAGCGATTCTACATTGAGAACACAGACATGACGAAAAAGAGAGGAGAGGGGATGCGATTCTACATTGAGAACACAGACATGACCGAAACCAACATGTTTCTTCCGTTCCAATAGCAGCCAGAAACGGCGAAGCTTGATGGAGCGACAATATGGCAGCGATAATCAACAGCCTGACGACGACTCGGATGGTGGAAGAAACGGCGGTTCAAAAAACAACAGCAGCAACCACGATATCGAGCCTTCATCCCATCGTCGGGGTTGTGGTGGTAGTCATTCGGTGGTTCAAGGCTGCCACTCTTTTAGGGTTAGGGTTAGGGTTGTATGTGGTTATGATGAATATATATTGGGCTAATGGGTGTGATGGGTTCCCCCATGTCCATCCTCAAACATTTGTATATTTACATGTTTAGTCCCTCTCCATAAGAAATCCTTTCAACTTAAGTCCCAAACATACCATTTAGCCCCTGACTCCTTAAAATATTTTCAACTTTGATACAATGTTTTACCAAATGGCCCCTTCATGACAATTTCTTTTCAGGTTAGGTATATAATTGACCCTTTTACCTTTGCTTCCATAAATCTTTACATATTAAGTCCAAATAATACCAAATTCCCCCCCCCCCCCCCCCCCCCCGACCACTGAAAATCTTTACACTTTAACCCCTAAAATAACACTTTAACCCCTATAACTCTAAATCATGTCATTTAGCTTCCCGAAACCAACAATCCGATAATTATTAATTTATTTTGGGCTATAATAATATAAAATAATAATACAATCTACTTCTCGGGGTTACGAGTTTATTATTTAATTATTTTATTTTAAATGGGATGTTACAACTCTCCACCACTTAAATTTGATTTCGTCCTCAAAATCGTTTCTTATCATTCCTTACACACTAGACAACTTGAGAAACATGACCACAACTACGAGCATAACACCAACCTTTCCAAGGCAACCGTAACCTACCCTCGCAGGGTTTTAAAACCTGAAGATAAACGAATCCCTTGCAATATGATGATATTTACTCAATATGTAATCTGATGTCTCAAGATGGTCTGACTCCGTAACAGACCGCCCTTAACGAATCATTATCGAGTTCACTACACTTATCAATCAACTGCTCCAAACATCAGACCCCTAACCGATTGTTGGGCCAGAACGCATGCGCAACATTCCCACATGACCTCCAAAGGATACCTCGTCTGATAATAAATGCCCAATCTATACTGCCACTCATGGCTCCGTCAATCCTTTCATCCATCCGATCATGATAGTCTGAGAAACTATCGCCATTGAATCAGATATGAAAAGTGAACGCTACTAGAATAGTGTACTCTTACATCATGCCTGGTCTTCTTTCACCTACCGTTTCGTAACTTTAGGTGTGTTGTGACCTATTCACAAACTTACGAACTGGACCACCCTAGCCTAAGTAATCTGAACAAACTCGCGAATGCCACAACTACCCTATAGTCTTTCTGCACTTCCTGCACAACATGACCGCTTGTGAATGCTACAGCTCCCCTGCAGTCCTACAACACTCTCTACACTATCTGACTACTAGTGAATGATACGGTTCCCCCGTAGTCTTACAACACTTTCATCCTACTGACTACCAGTGAATGCTACAGCTCCCCCCGTAGTCTTACATCACCTTTCACTCTAACACAACCGCATCCCAATGCCTTCCCTCTAATCTATCAATTCGAAACCCATACTGAGTTGAGTATGCACTCGACTAAACACCCGACCTAAACTCAATTCTTGAGTTGAGTTTCAACATGCTTCCCCAAATTCTACTACCAAGATCTAAAGAAGACGCGATTCACATGATGGGGAGTTTTAATGCACTCCAAACTCACCCAACCCCCAAACCAAATAGCCACTTGGCTCGCCATTGTCCTCGATGAGGATGAGAAACTCATTCTGGTCTCATACCTGCCTCTGTCCTGAATACCTGTGCGATTCTTCTGCACTTAGATTCGAATATGTCTTTGCAATACAAGAGATTTGAAGGATTCTCAATCCTTTCTCTTTAATTTCCGACCGTTGATAGCATCTTTCTTACCCGTGGTAGGGTTCTATTTCTAGTCCAAACCCTAAAGACCACACAACTCCTAAAGGTCAGACAGCACTACCTAAATCCTAGAGAAACTAATAATCTCTGATGCCTTGAAATGATGCGGCACTTATATCTTGAAATCCAAATAACCATTGTCCAGATCAAACCTCAACAATAAACCACTTCCCCTGGTGCCTACAAAGGCCGAATCAAGCATATTGGTTGAGTTACCAATCCTGACCATAGACCTTCCGTGTCACGTCCCTGAACCAATCTCGAATATAGACCTAGATAACAATGAACGCTCCAAACCAGCAAAGAGTGAAACAACCTTTCACTAACCACCTAGTAACTCATGGTATGCAGTTGGCATATGACAATGTTTGAAGGTATAATCCAATCCCAAGTAGGGAAACGAACCCAGAGATACACTTACTAAAACCCAAGAAACGAAAACTCTCATACGTTTCCACGCAAGTACCACGCTGAATCCGGCCCTGCTGGCCCCTCAAAAGTTGGCTCGAACTCTTGGGTCCCTTCCCGGGACCCTCCAATGTATGTACCTAATCTGGTCCCATCTTCCCTATATGCCCCAAATCAATCCCCGCTCTCGCGCTCTAGAAATCATATCACTTAGGTTCTCGCACCCTGGTGCCCTCACAAGCTCAATCGACTACGACTGAGCTGCAGTAGCTGAAGTAACTCCTGCCATAAACCGAGCTACAAACTAGCCGCAAGACATAGTCTTATGTACTCAGGTTCTCGCACCCTAGTCCTAGGCTTTCCTAGGTTCCCAACCTCACCCTGTCATGAGTTATTGAGGAACTCCCCATGATGCCACTTATCCACATCCTGGATATTGTCATATCCACTTAGTAGCTGACTCTCATCGCTCAGCAGTTCCACAAAGCAAAAAGCAAGCAACATTCGTGCAGTAGCACTCCGATTCAAAGAAGTGCCATAGAATATTCTGCCCACATATCGCAACTCGCGTTATCCACATCCATCCATCCTCACTGTTGGCTACCTTATGCATGCATATTATACACAGAACATGATCTGATAAACTGTCGTATATTAGACTCTACCCTAGAACCACAACCAGACAAGGAACAGGAAATAAGGCCAAATCAATTATTCTAAGGCTATAAGATCCTAACCATATACAATTTTAGAAGCATACACGTAGCAGTTACTCATACCAATAATCATTCTCATTCTAGCATGGCATCTAATATTCCCAAGGCTACAAGTACCATATATCAAGCCAATCTATTGCTGACTACTCAGCACTAGCATGCAAGTCTACCAGCTCATACAACATATACATGCATCTCTCTGAGCCCTAACTAGCATGCGATTCACAGATTAATAAACCAAGTCATAACAGATAACATATGTGGGTATTCCGGGAAACTAACTTGAGCTCGGCTGATTGTATGCACCATACCCTTTCCCGTCTTATCAATTCCTTCCTTAAAACATTTTAAAAAAAAACTTAATAGTTCCTCAGTTTGAGTTTAGACACACCCAAAAGTATGTCTGAATCCCTCAAACTAAGGCTTTGATACCAACTTGTAACGACCCAAAAATCAAGGTTAAAATTTTCATTTTTAATACAGACAAACGTATATATCTTTAAATCCAAACATTCCAAAAAACATAATTAATTAAAAAAATTCATCAGAGTATGTCCCAAAATCATATAGTGTGTAAAACACGGGTGTGTGCACTGCGATCTAGATGAGCCCTTCCTTTCCAAAACGATGATACCTGAAATCGTAAACAAAAATGTAAGCACGAAGCTTACTGAGTTCCCCAGAGCATACCCGACATACAATCCTCACAACGCATCTCATATTAGCTATAAAAGCTATCTCTACCACATAACAGACATCATATTAGTTATAAAATCTACCTCTACCACATAACACATATCATATTAGCTATAAAAGCTACCTCTACCACATAACACATATCATCTTAGCTATAAAAGCTAACTCTACCATTAGCCATAAAGACTATCTCTACCATTGGCGATACAGGCTATCTCTACCATTAGCCATAAAGACTATCTCAACCAATAGCCATATATGCTATCTCTACCGTTAGCCATAAAGCCTATCTCTACCATTAGTGATAAAGTCTATCTCCACCATTAGCCATACACGCTATCTTTACAACATATCACAAAATAAATATACAACACACCTCTACCTAGGAAGTATAAAAATTATCAAAAAATGGGTCGGACTTGGTGCCTTAGACCCATTGGTATGCTGAAAAGACTCACCTTGCATTGCTAAAGTCCTGCGGATAAAACTCTAGCTGCTGGTTGATTGGTTCCCGAACTATCAACATCAAAATGACACCCAATTAATAATTGGGTTCCAATACACAACCACAATCTACACTTGGTGTAAATGGACCATTTTACCCCTAACCAAGCTTGGTTCAAAACCAAGGCCCAAACTCACACCCTGAAGGCCCAAAATCCTATTAGTCAACCAAGGCCCAACATATAGCCCAATTTTCCAAATTCAGCCCAACCCTGTACACGGACTTATTTTAAGGCCCAATCAGTTATTCTAGACCAAAAATTGGCATTCTAAGGGCGCAATGACTAATAATCCTCAAGGCCTAATTATGGCCCACTTATGGCCTACTTTTCCAAATTGGGCCCAAACCTCTCTAATGGGTATTAGCATGAAGCCCAATGTATTCCCTCAGTCCATAAATAGGTTCTTAATTTGCCCACAAAGGCCCACAACAGCTTAGTCCAATAAATGGCCCAACAAGCATCTAAACCCAACTAGGGTTTTTGACATAAAATGATGATTAGGGTTAAGTGTTACTACTTAACTCATTAAGGACTTAATCTATTAAGTCTAACACTACCTTAGGTTAATTTGCCAATGAATGATAGTTAATATTTTATGTTTATTAATTAATTCCAGTGCGGGTCCCGATAAATCCAAACCAATGATTCTAATATTAGGTTTTTCAACCCACTTATAGCCCAATAGGCGCAATAGCTAGGTTTTTTTGATCAATTATTTTTCATTAGGCACGTTAGGGTTTCGTAGGGTAATGGTGGTGAACAACGGCTCATGGCGGCGGCCAACACCTCACGGTGATGGTTACGAGTTTCTTTTATTATTATTCCGGGCACCATTTTC